GACGGACCTCAATATTCATGAATAGTTTTATTAGCCTTTCCAGCTTGATGAGCATCATCAGTTGCTTCTCCAGTGTTTGTGTTACAACATCGGTATCCGCCCGACCAGCTGCCCAAACGCCTATAGAGGTGAAATATGTTTAATGAAATATCCTCTAAGAGGAATCTGGTGTGTCTTTTTGCACCATTGAGGTTAGCTTTACATCATTTTGGAGCCTGGCAATGGCTGGAGCATTTTATTACACCCGATATGTCAAACATCTGAAATAAAAGATGGTCCACATCCTTTTGACTATCAAATATGCACAACAAAAGCCTGTGTCTGCAGTGGATCACCAAGCAGCTGGTGTTCTAGAGGATTGACCAATCAGGATGGCTGCTTTCTCTAGGCTTTCCCCACATTCAGCCCGGCCTCCGGCAGGGAGTGTGTGCTTTCCTGTCCGACCCCACTGGAAGGTTCATCCAGAGGCTACGAGTTCAAGAACCGCTGCAGCCACACATTTTTCTCTGCCTGCTCCAAAAAAAAACAACAACAAAAAAAAACGCCAGACTAGTTGCTCATGCTTGTCTGTCACCAGTCTTTCTTTGTCTGATACAGCTTTCTGTGTGTTAACATGCAGCGAAGTCAACTCAAAGTTTAATCACCCAGAAAATGGAAAAAGGCTCCCTTCACCTGATACTGATATAGCCCATACAGGTACCCAATGACCATACACACACACACACACACACACACACGCGCGCGCGCGCACACACACAGGCATGCATACGCATGTCCAAACATTCACACAAGGTGCTGCAACACACTTGTGTGACCCATCTGTCTGCAGGTGGCCATGCTGCCTTTTAGAGGCAGCCATCAGCTTCAAATAGGCAGCCCGTCTTTATTGTTGCCCTGCCTCTCGTCAGCATGGAACCACCCAGCCGTTACAAATGCACCAGAGGAATATCAGCAGCCAAAAGTATTTTTCCTCTAGATGTATGTTAAAGTGCCTGCACCACCTGGTGAAGGCTAATGCATATTGCTGATGTGTGCTGTTGGCTATCCATCATCACCAGCATATGTTCACACCCTGTCACATTTACATGTCTGAAAGGAGACAAACTTTGGATCTGAGTTTGTGAAGAGCTTACACTTTTCTATCTTCTGCTTGTCTTAACCTGTTATTCACGAGAGGACCCAAATTTGGGTCCTCTCGTGACAGAGGTGTCAAACTCCAGTCCTCAAGGGCCTCTGTCCTGCAACTTTTAGATGTGAACAACAGGTTAAACCTTGATCAGACAATAGCTTAACAAGAGGAAATGTGTGACTGCAAAACAATTAAGTTGTGCCTTTTGAGACCATTTGTGTGTGCATTAACCTGCACTTAACTCAATTTCCTTTTTAAAACATACTTGCAAAATGGCTTGACAATTAGAAATTTGTCTTTTCATATGGTGGTATGTATGCTTAGCTTTGGCTTGGGTTCCAAGTACAAGAACATGTACATTCCTAGAGGGATGTACATCAGTTCATCGAGCTTTCCCGATCTTCTGACACAGAAAGAGCTGATGCAAAGTATACTTGCAGATTTTAGTGAAGGCAGGACTTCAGCATGGTAGGAGGGAGGCAGGTGGAAAGTTGGTTCAGTAAAAGCCTGTTAATCAGCCATCGATTGAAATCATATGTTCTAAAGCAGGGAAACATCTAAAACATGCAGGGCAGTGTCCCTTGAGTACCAGGGTTGGGAAACACTGTTAAGTTTTATGTAGCTATACAGTGTGGGTGACTGGGTGGACGGTGTGAATGGCTGTTTTTCTGTCAGCCAGTCAGAAGGTCATAACAAAGTGGGGAGGCTTGGCTCATATTTGGTAAAGCTCTTCTCTAAAGTTTCTCCACATCAGAACCAAAAGCAGCCTGGACTGTTGATGCAGGATGGACTCATGATTTCTAGTTGTGTATGCCATGTGGATCTTACAATTGAAATAGAGACTCTATCTTGTTAAAAGATAGAGTAGGTCTATCTTTTAACAATCTTAAGGGCCTTTTCTGCCTGGCAGTCCTTCAGACTGGGTTCAATTACCAAAATTGCAACTTTTGTTACATTTTCAGCTGCTGTGGTTCGTTTTCATACTGCACTGTGTCAAACAAACTTTGAAAAACCTGCTCCCCTCTCACCTGTGGTCACCACTGAAGGAAATGACATGAAAACTTCTGAAGTCTCCAGTCTGCTTGGTGTTCACTTATGCATTTGAACCATACAGTTACCCAATGACCACACACACATGCACGCACGCACGCACGCACGCACGCACGCACACATTTCACTATTACTGAACCAAAACCTGGGTCTGTAGGAAGACTAGAGTTTGCTCTTTAGTCTATATTAGACTTTGATTACGCATTCACACCTCCTCAAGCAAACAAGACTTTCTAGGCAAATGAACTGGAGTTTGATTATAGCGGAGCAAACAGCAGTGGTGTGAATGCATCCTGATTGTTTAGTTCTGGGAGTTTATATGAATTCTTGCTTCAATCTCCTGTTCTTAACTGCCATAATTTGCACCTGGTATGATATTCAGCTTAAAAGGCCCTGCATGCTGAGAAGTCAGAGATGTTACGCTACATAGCCTGGTGGTTATTTGATCTGCTAGTTGAATATTGTCTTTCTACCATTGGGGACAAGTTCATCCGTTCTCTTCTGTTCTCTGACAGAGGAGAACAGAAGAGATGGTCCAAAAAACCTTGTGTTTTGGACCATTCCTCTGGTGCTCACGTGTTTTAGCTAGCTGAACATTGTTAGGCATTGTTCACTTGAGTAGGCTTTAGCTGTTTTTGGTTATTACCAAGCATCAAATGGCTTATTACTAAAAATAACATTGATGATAGTCAGTTAATACTGGCATGCAGAGGGTGAATACACGGCCCATATGTGACAGTAAACTAACATCAGTCTGTTTTCATCTGAATGTCACAGAACAGTTTTTGAAACAATGAAGGAGTATTATGTCCATTATGTAATTCTGACAATATTTATTCTCAGGTTTGTATCACTTTGAAGTCAGACCAGCAAATTTGTGAAACTCTTATCTTCACTTTATCAGTTTTCTGAAAGTCTTCTAAAAACACTGAGCTTTTTCTGCAACTGCTTCAGAAAAATGTCATTAATCTGACCCTGCAGCTCCAACTTCTCTCAAAGCAGGTGTTGAGAAAGACTTAGCCACAGTAGTTAACTTACTTTTCAATATTTTACCATGGGACAGCATTTAGACTCCTAGTTATACTGATGTGCTGCTGACTTTTTAGAGCTTCACTTGTTCCAAAGTTGTACATTTGACACACACAGAGTGAATGCTGATTGAGATCAGATTAAATTAAAAGAGGAGTCCACGTTGGGAAAAGGACACACTAATTCTAAAAGTTTCTTCCTTATCATCAGTAACTGGGTTCTCTCTGAAGTATGGAAGAATGTAACCTATTCAGAGGTGCTTGGAAGGTTGTGTTTGAATGGAGAGATCTCTGCAAATATTTAGTGCCAATTATGAATTTACTTCAATCTGCTGTCTTCACTGGGCTTGGTGTCAGACAGTACATGCAGCACAGAGTCCTCTTCTTGTTTAGATTCAGTCATGACCTGAGGTAGTCAGTTGTTGGCTGTGTTGGATGACTGTGTTTTGTGTTTATATGATACAAAGCATTTTGAACTTCTTTGTCGATGAAATGTGCTATACATATAAACGTGGTTGATTGATAGTCTTTATGTTATGTCTGTTTACACTCAGGAACTATACACTGAAATCTATTCACATAAAAATGTAAAGAAAGCTTTCACAAAGAGATTTTGATTAAAACAGCAATAGAATTAGTGGTCAGTCATAGGGTGTTCCTGCTAAAGTAGTTCAGCCAGAGCTCCTGCTAGAGCCACTTTCTACCTGATTAAAGCTGCTGTATGTAACTTTGCTAAAAATATAGATTTTGTTCCATATTTTTGTTAAACTGACATTATGACAGTATTTAGAATGGTGATCTATGAAAAGATTGAGTTCCTCCACCTCCTCCATGTGCCCCCAGTCCTGTCTGAAGAAATGCACCGCTGCCGGTCAAAAACAACCAATCAGAGCCAGGAGGAAGGTCGTAGTGTCATCTGTCATGATTGTGCACCTGCTGCTTAAGGCAGAGAAACAGCTTACTGTCCCAGGAAAACTGTTTATCCACCATCATCAGTTGCTATTCTGACTAGCCTAAGTATTTGTTAGGAAGATGCTGCAGCATAGCAGAGAGTAAGAGAGAGAGGGCCTGGGGTGCACATGCTTGATTGACAGTGCTAAGTCCCTCCTCCTAGCTGTGATTGGTTGTTTCTAGTTAGCGCTGGGAGGCAGAGCTAACAAATACTGTCTAAGTGATACTTTGAGTCAGTGCAAGGTTGAAGAAATATTGTAACCGATTTCAGAACATTTTCACTGCTATCCTTTAAAGATGATCAAATTAACAATAAGAAAGTTATTTATTTAGATGTGGTGGCATGTAGGAGATATTCAGAAGTCCATACATGAAATCATGTGGTCCTGATATGCCCACTGGTATTGTTTCTGAAATAAAATAACTTGAAAGCTACAAGTTGGTTTTGGTGCTTAGACTATTCCGAGTCACATAACTCTACACTTCAGTGGAGTGGAACTACTGAGACAGGAGAAAGCATAACGGCCTTTTTTATGTCTTCACATAAAAAGTACAATTTACCGGGATAAGAGCACACTGGAGCAATGTAGTCAATCCACAGATGGACTGCAAAGTTGTTCTAACAAGTGCTGCACGACACATCTTCTAAAATATTGCACAGAGAATTTATTTTTCATCCCATTTTTGTTGTATGAAGAGAAAACAATTTTGTCAACAAAGTTTTGTTTTGCCTTCAGGTTGAAAATGAAAAGGTCCATTTTTGGTTTGTAGAACCCTAAGTGAGTTGTTTAGTCATTTGAACAGAGGCCTTTTCATCCTCCTCTCCTTTACTCTCCCTGCAGCCATCGAAACGCAGAGCACCAGTTCTGAGGAGTTGGTCCCCAGCCCGCCATCGCCGCCGCCTCCGCCCAGAGTCTACAAGCCCTGCTTCGTCTGCCAGGACAAATCCTCTGGATATCACTATGGAGTCAGTGCATGTGAGGGCTGCAAGGTAGGACTGGCCTGCTGCATCACACACATCAACAAGCTGTGTGTGTTCAAAGCCTGTGTTGTCTTTTTATTCTTTTTATTACAACACTGACATAACATCTAGGAATAGCTGTAGAGTTGTCGCTTCATTTTAATCCCAAATAGTTTTGTGAAACCTGCTCATACTGTCCAGTGAGGGTTGTAAACTACTCTCAGAAGTGTGTGTGTGTGTGTGTGTCTGTGTGTGTGTGTGTGTGTGTGTGTGTGTGTGTGTGTGTGTGTGTGTGTGTGTGTGTTTGTGTGCGGTTTTTAGCGTTTCTTATTTTGTAAGGCTTTTTCCAACAAATACTCTGTTGAGAGGACCAATGAAGTCCACATTCCATATGAAGTCCTGATCCCCTCATCAAAAACACACCTTGAGGAAACCTTGAGTTTTCCATGCCAACCATTCAGGATTGCATAAGCACTTCCTCTCACAAAGTCCCGCCTATTTCCACAAAGCTCCTCTTCAGACCTGCATTCTCCAGCTGAGCTTCCACCTCACAGAGCAGCCCTCCCCTGCCTTCCTTCAGACTAGCCAGCAGAAATCACTTGTTGGAACTGAACATCTGCTGAGCTCATCATACTTCTCTGTGCAACACTCTAAAGAAGAGTTGTAAATGGCATAACGGATGAGCGTTGTTGTTTGATGACGACAAACCAGCATTCTCAGTTTACATCTGACTCGGCCTGTGATCTACCACATCTCTCAAATAACATGAGATTTAACCTTTAAAAAAGCATATAATCATTACTTTTTGGTCCTAACAAACTTTTTACTAAACACAGATAAGACATTTGAATTACATGTGAATTATACTTAGAATGAATAGAGCTTTCTGAAATGTGCAGGCATGAGAGCAGGTTTTTTTTAAAAGGTTTTATTGGCTCTAGTGGCCTTTATTTGATAGTTGACAGGAAAGTGGGTCATGAGAGAAGGGGGAAGACATGTGACAAAGGTCGCATTTTTATGTAATTCCAGAGTCACAGGACAAATCCTTTCAAAAAAATTTACTAGTTCCACTGGCTTATGACATGGAAAATGTTTTGTTAAAAGTGAAAAAAACTACTGGTGGAACTAGTAACAAATACGTATTAAATAATTATGGACAAGCTCTTATGTTTTGCAGAAACATTACTTGTAAGTTAGTTTTGTAGAATCTAGAAAAAGAAATCTTGGTTAGGTTTTGTGTTTTTTCAGTGTTGACTTTGAATCTGTCTGTATGATTGGATTGAAAAGGAAGTTTACTGTAAATTGGAGTTAAATAAATAAACTGAGTTGAACTGAATTAAATTGAAAATGACAAGGCAACATGTCAGAATCGTGTGTACAGGAAGGGAGTGGTGTATTCCAGGTACTTAGTTCCAGTATGGTTGGCTGCTGCTGTTCTCCTGTGCAGTTGGACTCAGATGTGTGTAAGTGAAGCAGAGGAATGTCAGGAATCCTCCGCAGGTTTTGGCCCGGGGGTAGGTGGTGATCTGCTCACTCATCGTTCTCTGGGTCAAACCAAGTTCCTGGTGTTCCGTTAGAAGCCAGCAACAGTCACAAAGGTCTGCCATGACCTCTGACCTTGCTGAAGTGTTCAGGGTCAGTGACAAACAGCACACTGGACACATTCTGTACAGATACATAATCATCACATGGCTGTGGGCGAGCCCATTTTATGGCAAATAGTGAATCCAGTTCATTTAATGGAAAGTTTCTGATGAAACAAACATACTGCTGGGTGATACTGATGTGAAAAAACATAAAATAAAATATCTTGGATTTGATTTATGTGACATTCTGTTGCAAAAGGATAGTGTTTTCATCTCTGTGTCTCCCTGGTGAAGCCATTGTTGTGTGTTGTGCCGGGGCCGAGGCCTTTCTGTTGAGCAGACGCAGCCGAGCGTTCCTGTACAGCTGTAGGCTTTTACACAACAAGAGGAGCATTTTACTCCCCGGTGAATGTGCCAATTAAAGCCAGAAATAGACTAAAGGCAGAGTGGGGGCTTCATCACTGTGCATGTGGAGGACTTGTTGAAGAAAGCTCAGACACATATAGTGATATCTGCCAAGCTGTGTAATAAACTCCTCCACTGATCAATGTTCAAACATTACATCATGTTCAGTACATTCATTCTGGAAGGTCGGAGCCACTTCAGTTCTTCCTAAAATGTTTTGAATCACTTGAATGAGGGAAGTCTTCTGCTCCAAGGCTGCACATATTTATGTTTTATCTTAAATTCTTCACTTATTTATATACATTTATATTTTAATCTCTATTGATATTCATTCAGTCACTCACCCATTCAGTTTTATTGCTTTTTCAAGCCATGAAAATGATTACAAGCTTTAATAAAATTACAAAACTGTACTGTTTGTGATCATAACATTGAATAAGTGTTAAGAAAACATTGTAAATATACACTAACAGGGATTTTCTCCCCTTGTATTCTCAAGGGGAGAAGTGATGGCCACACATTTCCCCTTCAGGATTTTCTGCTACATTTCTGTTACAAACATGTTGTTGTTGTTACCTCATGATGATCTGCTGAATTACCAGAAATACAAGTACCAAAGTAAACTTTCTGTGATGAACAATACAGTATGTGTTTGTGTTATAAATGTATTGTTAAGATCATGAAGCCAAGAACTATTCATCATTATAACTGTTACTTCTGTGATGTTGAGATTGATCAGATTCACTAATGACAGAATATGGGAGATTAAACAGTTGCGAAAATATGACACATTTATTAAATCTTGTAAGTTACAACTTCCATCTTTAAGTACGTATGGTATTAATTTACATAATATATAGATATAAATATTTGATGTACTCACAAATGTGGTATCTTACAAATTAGTTGACAGCTATAAACATTTTGTAATGAATGAAAAGGAGTAGTTTGAAAAAAAATCTTACATTAATCAAAAGTTAGTTCATTATACCATAAGCAACAAAACATCAATCAACCATCCACATCAAATAAAAATCAAATCACATTTTATTTTTATAGCACATTTCAGCAACAAAGGCAGTTCAAAGTGTTTTACATCATAAAGACAAAAATAACCAATTGAAACATTTCTCTGTCATAACACGTCAAAAATACATGCAACCATACACGCATGTATGTGTACATGCATGTTTCTGCATCCTGCATAGGAAACTTGTATGCATACAGGGACACCACTGGTTCATTCTGATTAAGGGATTTCTTGATTCTCTAAGTTTCACAGAAATTTCCCACAAACAGACAACTTTGTACTCTGAGCTCCGATATCCTGGAAATTTGAGCTACCAACAGAGTACCAGGCCTTCTGATGGATTTGTGAGTGAGCCTCTGGTGTTTTTTGTAAGTCACTCCAACTGTTGAGAACAACTAAAGGAAATCATGGGTGGTTGAGCAGACATGCCCAGAGCCACTGAACTGCATGAGATTTATCACCTGGATCATACAGGTGTTTTTCTCTCTAAATCCATTGCGCCAGACTATCTCAGCAGACTCATGCCTGTCTTTTAGATCCTAGCAAGTGTCATTTAGTGTGTTGCCCAGCATCAGCTGATGTGTTTTGTTGGACAGAGCTCATTTGAATTGTTAAAACAGAGCCGTGGCATATGGACCTCCAGAAGCACATGCATATGCAAAAGATGACAGTCTCATCTGTGTTGACCCAAAGTCAAGCAAATCTTACAAAGTCAAGACAGACTTCAAATTGTTTCCAACCCTTACACTTAGTTCTGACAAGAGACAGAACTTCCTTTGGAAAACCACAAACTTCTTTTAACAGAGTGGATCAGTCCATTCAGCCTTCCTGTTATCAGGAGCTCTCTCTCTGGCCACCTAACTGAATCACACACACACGCACACATCTTGACATGTTGTAGAAAACACTTCCTTCTTCTTTTTCTATGTGCTTCCTCTGACTTGCTTCTTCACAGAAGTTGAACATTTCTAACTTTACTCATTTTCCCCCAGTAACACCAAAGACTGTTATGATGAGCCCAACCTGGTTGTACTTAGGGACGATATTCTACAGCAGCATGACCTGGATGAATCAGAATCAGAAGAATTTATTGTCACCATCAGTTGTTGGCTAGCTCTGATAATCCACCTCATTTGCTTTTGCCGCTCCTCTTTCAATCTCTGCCTGTCTAGGACGCCCAGCAGGGTTAAGTCTCTTTACCCGCATTGAACAGTAAAAGTGAGTAAGCTTCTGCTGTTTTCTCAGTAAAAAATTGGCACAGATAAGGGGCTCAGACAGAAAAACCCAGCTCATCTGGAGCCTTTCTATAAAGAGCAATGCAAGCTGCAGCTGAATCTCCAAAAATTATTTTAAAACGCACCAGCAGTGGCTGTTTAGCATGGATTTCATCACAATAATTCTCCTGGCAGAAAGAAAAGCAAACCTAAGCATTCCTTTCACCTTCAGTTTAGCAAGCAGGACATGTTTGCAGTGTAGGTGCAGAGCTTCACGTTACTTTTTCTGCACTTCTCTGCTAAACTAAGGAATAACAGAAACCAGAGCAGGTACAGGTCTCCAGTAAATCTGTCTTCTTCAGTGGAGCAGGATGGGCAGTGACATCATGGGACTAGTTTGCATAAGATGTCCAGAGAGGAGGGCGTGTTTCGGCACGCGTGTCGCTCGCGCTGACAGCTCTGAAAGCTTGAAGACAAAACTCTGAGCCGTGAATACTCCTCCCCTCTCTCTCCTCTTCTTGTTGGGTCCCGAGGTGTCGACTCAGTGGGATTAGCTTGATGGAACTGGTTTGACAAGCGAGGGACCACAACCCCTGTGAATGAGCGCAGCATTCTGAATGCTCACACTGGCTGACACACTGTTGTGTTTCTGAACTCTCAGCGCTGTCTGCTCCTCTTTTCTCCCCAAAGCCACACACAGGGATGGAATGTTGGGGAAAGTTTAACAATTCGGATCACTTCAGCGACTGTATTAAGTTGTTGCACACATATTTTTTTCATGCTGCTATAGAAACT